AGCGAGGGAAGGTGGCCACAGGTCATAGAAATGCCGGAGGCAGAGGAGTATGGGGATTGATTAGTGTTTCTCATTCCTGCACTGACAGAGGCAAAGGAAGGTGTCATGGGATTTGGCAGACAATGGCTGTTCCTCCTTCTTCCTAATACTAGGACATCCAAATTTCTGATAAGTACACAGTTATCAGAATGAGGACTACCTCTCGGAACCTCCTTCACAGCCGTTACGACCTTAGAATCACGATCTGGCCAGCAGATGTAAAAATCAAGTGCTATGTGTAGTCACCAGGAAATGTCTGTAAAAGGAGAGAAGTCTTTCTTCAAACCTTCCTCCTTCCTTCCGGCTGGAATGCAGATGTAATGGCTGATGCTCTAGCAGACATCTTACACCATGCAGTGCAAGTCAGGGCAGAAGATGGTGAAGTTAACAAGACTGGTCCCTGGTATCAACAACACTGAGCCTGTCCTGCATGGCTAACTTCTGGCTCTCTTTTATGTAAGAGAAAAATACTTTCCCCTTATGTTTTGCTTAAGCCATTATTATTTGGGTTTCTGTCTCACACAGCTGAACTGAATCTTTACCAATAAATGGAGATGAGAATACTTTTTGTTAGCAGAGGTGGGACAAGGACTGTAAGAGAAAGGGGGAGGGGTTCCCTGAACTGACAGAACTGAGGACAGAAGCCTAGTTGATTCTGGGATAAACAGAAGTTGTGAAAGAGGACATTCCTGCAGAGGCAGGTGGAGGGTAGGGGCCCCTGAGACTGCCGGGAGGGGCAACATTGGGCCTTGTGAGTAAGTTGCTGTAGTTGGAGGCAGGCCAGGTCCCTGTGTTGACAAAAGGCTGGGGAGAGACTCAAGCTAGGAAGGATTGTTCTGGAAAATTCTGTCCATGTTTTCGCTTGTTTTGTTCAGGGCAGATTATAAGTGCTTTATGCTTTTTAACGTGGAAGAAGCTTGGTGGTATAGATGAGGCTATTTGACACTTCTACAAAGAAGCGAGTTCAGACTCTCATAGAATAGGAACATGGCCTTACACACATAGATGTCATTCTTATCCAAATCCAGCTTCCTGCTGGGGCACAGTGGTGCATGCCTGTAATCCCAGCAGCTCGGGAGGCTGAGGCAGGAGAATTGCAAGTTCAAAGCCAGCCTCAGCAATGGTGAGGTGCTGAGCAACTCAGTGAGACCCTGCTTCTAAATAAAATACAAAAAAAAAGGGCTGGGGATGTGGCTCAATGGTTAAGAGGCCCTGGATTCAATCCCCGGCACCAAAAAAAAAAAAAAAAGAAATTCAGCTTCTTCACTGCAAGAAGATTCACTCTTTGAACTTTTCTTTCAGTCTCTTCACTTTCACTATCAAACACCAGAAGGTTTCTCACTGCCACTGCTGGAACACTCACTTGAACCATCTTGACCTACCTGGCAGGTCTCGGGTCCCTGGCTACAAGTCAGATATTTTCGGATGATACTTCACTTTCCTGGGCTCCAGAGGCTTGTGTACCATTCCGCTGAGACTGCACTGAAATGGTTTCAGAATCAGTGACACCAGTGACACTTAAAGGACAGGCTTCAAATGTGACATCATCTAGGCCCAGGATGGATGACAACCTGGCATCTAAAATGTTGAGAGTTGTTTCAATCTGTTGGATCCAAAGAGAAAGGTCTGCTGGTTTCTCCTCACAAACAGAAGAAAAATCAAAGTGCACCACAAACTGATTTAAAAATGCCACCAATCTATTCTGTTGAACAGGTGACACCTTGGTCACATCTATGCCTGAACCCATGAATGGAAGCCTGTCTCATCTCCCTACCGGGTGGGGGACCCAGAGCCCACCCACTGCCTCTCAGGCCTTCCTACTGGAAGGAACAGCTTCTCCCCTCTCTTTGCTTGGCCCCTCTATCCACCTTTTATGACCAAGGGCAAATCCACATCCACCCGATGTCCTCATCACTTTCTAGACCACCCTCTTCCTGCTGAGCCATACAGCCTGTGGCTCCTGGAGAGGTCAGTATTAGACTAACCCTGGGGCCACACAGTCCAGCATAACTCTTCATGTGGCCTCAGACCACCTTCCCAGGACCTCCCTGAGGATTTGCTAAGAATGTTGATTTAAGAACCCTACCCAACACCCAAGGGACCAGCCCCTGGGCACAGCTCCCGTGATGCTGATCTATTCTCAAATTCAGTTGATTGTTCTGGGAAAACTGAGGGTTATACAAGAAGCGTGACTCTCCAGAGTCTCACTGCCAGTCAGCAGAGCACTGGGCAAGCACCCAGGAGTCAGGACCTCCAGTCCAGGCTGCTTCCAATGCATGTGAGGATCACCCAACACCAGCAACTTTTATCCTGAAATGGGGGGATCCCTGCCAACTTAAAAACCCTCTGAGATGAGCGCAGCATCCTCATGGTGTCCCCATCCTCCAACTGGTAAGACAAACCGTAAGGTAAAGTCACCCTGGTGGCCCTGGGCCCATCTCCCGGAGCACAGCAGGGCTCCCTGAAGACTCACACACTCACCCCACTGGACTTTCCATTCAGGAACAAGCCCTCCTCAAATCCTAACCTATTCTCTACAGGGGGGACATTACCTGTTCCTCCATCTTGGCTGCCTGGGCAGCCCTGGCTCTGCACTCCCCCAGCCTGGCACTGGGGGAACGTGCTAATGTGAGCCACGGCACCCCCTTCCTGTCCCTAAGAACTAAGAACTTCATCTCCAATTCTCTTTCTCTCCTGCTCACTGACCTCCCTCAGTTTCTGAGAAGACAATTAAGTTCTGACTGGCTTCAGAACGCTCCACGACCCACCCCTTCCCCCCTGGTTCCCCACAGGGACTGTCCCGCGACAAGCAGGTGCTGCCTCCAGCCCCGCACACACCTGGGCACAGTTCCCTTGGGCTGAAACCACTTGTCTCAACCCAGTTGCCTCAGCCGAGGATTCCGGCCCACACTGGCTGCCTTTGCCTTGACTGGGCAGCAGCAGGCTCAACACTGCCCTCTCCCAGAACCTATCCAGTCCCTTCACTTGCTAAGTCACCTAAGCTATCATTATTTGGTGATAACACTAGGTGATAAATTGTCCCTACCCTCCCAGTCTCCACCGCAAAACCTGGCAGAGGCTTTAAGGTGCCTGAAGAATGGAGCCCGAGCTGGCACGGTGGCATATGCCTATAATCTCAGGTGCTGTGGAGGCTGAAGCAGGAGGATCTCAAGTTTGAGGCCATCGTGGGCAATTCACTGAAATCCTAAATCAAAATGAAAAGGACCAGGACTATAGCTCAGTGGTAGAGCCGGGGTGCGAAGCCCTGGGTTCCATCACCTACACTGCATTAATAAATGAATGAATGAACGAAATCAGAGACCCAAGAGAGATGGTGAGAAGTTGTCCCCCGCCCCCTGCCCGGTCCTAGACTCCGGGACCCGAAAGGCTGCCTTTGGCGCCATCTGGCGGCCAGGGCTGCGGAGCTGAGAGCAGACCCCGCGCGGTATCCCGCGCGGCCTGCGGGGGCGGGTTCCCGCGAGCCCGGGGGAGGATGCTGGGTACGGTCCAGCTTAGAGAGCCAGCTCCGCGTGGCCCAGGAAAGGCTCGACTCTGGATTCAGGCGGACCCGCCACTCTCCGGGAGCCCATGAGACCCGGTGCCTTCGTTCCCAGCTGGTGGCGGATGCAGACCAGGGATGCTGTGGGACGCAGGGCAGCCAGAGAAAGCATGTGCGTGCGCGTCCCCCGCACTACGCAGCGCCCCGCACCGCCGCACGCGCGCGCGCACGCATGCCCCGACGCTCGCCCGCGCCGGCCGGTCTCCCACGCCACGGCCCGGGAGCTCCCCGGCCAACGGTCCCGGATAAGCAGGCCCTGGCACTCGGCGAACTCGCGTGAGCACAGTGCCGCGTCCCGTTTCCACCGACACTTCAGACGCGGGGACCCCGCCGCGACAGCACCTCTCTCATGGATGACCCCATGGAGGAAGGGGCGCGGGGGTCCGTGCGCCTCAGGCCCGCTGGAGCAGGCTGGGGGCGCCCGGGCCAGGCCGCTCCCACCTGCTGGCCGCGGCGACCAATGAAAACTTGGCCTGGTGATGTCATGCCTCTGCCGGACCTTGGTGACGAAAGTCCGAGGTCACCCGTCTGGGGACCAGCGCAAGCCCACCCGCGGGGATTCCGGAAGTTTCCACTGCTGCAGCGGAGTGCAGCCTCGCCCAGCAACCTTGAGCGTGTCACCACATTGGCCTCCCTTCTGGGGTGTCCCCGTGTCACCTCTTTCTTCCCTGAGGGTCTCCTTTCCCCGTGGGAGAACCCCTGATTTCCATCAAGATCCTGTGTTCCCGTCTTCATTCCCACAGGTGTCCCCTCATCCCCAGGAGTGCCCCATGTCACCTTTTCTCCACCAGTGCCACCCTGAAGGGGTCCCCAGTCACACTTTCACGTGTCGCTCCTCCCATGCCACCCCTGGCTGTGTCGGGGACAGAGAGGCTCATTTATTCAACCCCTCGTCCTAGCAATAACTTCCGAGCCTGCGCCGAGGCTGTCAGTGTGTGGGTCCGTCTGTGAAAGTCGGTTTATCTCTGTCACTACAGGGGACTGTCGCCTGCGTGTGTGTCTGTCTCGGCAGGCTTCTGTCCGTCTGTCACGTGGGTGTCTGCTCCGCCGCTGCGGGTCTTCAGGTCGCGCCTGTCACGGCGTGTCTGTCCGTCTGTGGGCGACTGTCACTGGAGTGCGTCTGGGCCCCCCGGGTCCACGGGTCTTAGCTCAGGGGGAGGGAGAAGGAGGGGAGGTGGCAGCCCAGGGCAGCGGGGAGGGGCGGGGGCGGAGACAGTGGGCGGGGGCGGGCGGGGGCGCCGTGCGGCCCAGAGGGGTGTGTGCGGGGGGCCGGAGGCGGCGGCTGCCAGAGTCGGCTCAGCCTGCGCCGGGGAACATCGGCCGCCTCCTGCTCCCGGCGCGGCCTGGCCCGGCTCGGCCGCCTCAGGTGAGTCTCCCGCCCAGCCCGGGACCCTCCCCCAGCCGGCGGCCACTCGGCGTGCCGGGGACCGTGCGCCACCGGAGCGATCTAGGCCTCCAAACCTGGCGCCCACCGCGCCCCCGGGCCTGCCCAGCGGCGTCCCCCGCCGCCCCGCACTCCTGGGTAACTCTTCCCTCGCCGCCGCACACTTACCGAAGCCCGCTGGGCCGTCCGCTGCCTCTCCAGAGGTTAGAATTCCTGCGGGACCCCCGAGCGCCCCTTCCCCGCTAGCCCCAAGTCTGAGACCACTAGAAGATGCCCCCTGTTTGGGGCGGACCCCAAACTGCGCAGGTTCCTGGCGCCCTCCTGGATGCCCCTGTACCCAGAGTGGAGCGACCCCAGAGTCCCTGCGCAGAGCCCAGCCCAGGCCCCCTCCGAGGCCTGGGACCCCCTCCCGCGGTGACTCCGTCTCTATTTTGGGGGAAGGGGACGCTCAGCGGAAGCCCCGAGTTATAATTAGCCCAACTCGGGTTTCCTAGTTAATCTCCAACACCACCAACAACCCCAGCTCAGGGAGACAGGGCTGGATGAGGGGTGACCGCCGAAGAGGGGGGAGTTCCGACCCGGGGAATTTTGATCCCTTGGCTGGAGATGCCGGAATCGCAGCAGCTGCTACCCCAAAATAGCGCCCCCGCCCTTGCGGCCGGGGATCTCCGGAGCTCCGGGAACACAGGCGTCCCGGCTCGCCCTTCAGGCCCCTGTGTGATACCCGCGAGCTCCCAGGCCCCCACCCCAAGTTCCCGGCTCCCGGGCTTGGGGCGGAGAGCGCAGTCCTCTTCTCGGTCTCTACTGCCCCCTTCCGGCAACAGCGTGAACTGCAACGCCGGACGGATAGGGTCTCGCATCCTGGGGTCCAGGGCCCAGGAGCCTGTTCGCTGGGAGTAGGCAAGGCGGGGTTTTGCTGATGGGAACCGACGGGTACCAGCGCGCGATGCCCGACAGCAGATGGGGCGAGGCAGGGTAGGGCAGGATGTGGAGTAGGCAGGATTTGGGGTGCTCCAGGATCTGGAGCTCCCACACCTTGAATGTCCAAACCACTTCCCCTAGGGCCAAGGCACTGGCCAACCCAGGAGAGACTAGGGCTGTGCCTGTAGGCCGCGCAAGTTCCCCCAGCTGGAACCGCCCGTCAGTGAGGGCCCCGCCCCTGTCCTGTGGCCTGTGCGTGGACTGCGGCCTCTGGTGCCCGCATTGCAAGCACCCTGCCCAGCCCAAGCCACAGAGCCAGAGGAAGGTGAGGGCGGTGGGCCCCACGGGGCCCTGGAGGGTATGCATTGGCAGATCTTCTCTCTGTTACCTGCATTTGTCTGGGTGCGTGTGTCTGCCTGATCTGTCCCCTCTTGCCTGTCTATGTCCTTTCTCTGCCTGTCTCCTTCACTCCCTTTATTTTTCTCCTCCTCTTGCCAACCTGCCCCACCTCCTCTGCAGCGGAGAGATAATCCTTGGGCAAGATTGTTACCTAATCTCCTCCCTCCTGGCGGCCTGCAGCCTTTACCCTTTGCCTTTCTTTCTCCCAGCAGACGACCGCCTGCCCTGGCAGCCATGAGGCCCCCGTGGTGTCCCCTACACACGCCCTCCCTAGCTTCCCCACTCCTTTTCCTCCTCCTCTCTCTCCTGGGAGGAGGGGCCGGGGCTGAGGGCCGAGAGGACCCAGAACTGCTGGTAACTGTCCGTGGGGGCCGACTGCGGGGCATCCGCCTAAAGGCCCCTGGGGGCCCCGTCTCTGCTTTCCTGGGCATCCCCTTTGCCGAGCCACCTGTGGGGCCCCGCCGCTTTCTACCACCGGAGCCCAAGCGGCCCTGGACAGGGGTGCTGGACGCTACGACTTTCCAGAGTGTCTGCTACCAATATGTGGACACTCTGTACCCTGGATTTGAGGGCTCCGAGATGTGGAACCCCAACCGTGAGCTAAGCGAGGACTGCCTCTACCTCAACGTGTGGACACCATACCCCCGGCCTGCATCCCCCACCCCTGTCCTTGTCTGGATCTATGGTGGTGGCTTCTACAGTGGGGCTTCCTCCTTGGACGTGTATGATGGCCGCTTTCTGGCACAGGTTGAGGGGACTGTGCTGGTGTCCATGAACTACCGAGTGGGAGCCTTTGGCTTCTTAGCTCTGCCAGGGAGCCGAGAGGCCCCAGGCAATGTGGGTCTGCTGGATCAGAGGCTAGCACTGCAGTGGGTGCAAGAGAATGTGGCAGCCTTTGGGGGTGACCCAACGTCGGTGACTCTGTTTGGGGAGAGTGCAGGCGCCGCCTCAGTGGGCATGCACCTGCTGTCCCCACCCAGCAGGAGCCTCTTCCATAGGGCTGTGCTGCAGAGCGGTGCACCCAATGGACCCTGGGCCACTGTGGGCATGGGGGAGGCCCGCCGCAGGGCCACACTGCTGGCCCGCCTCGTGGGCTGTCCCCCGGGGGGTTCTGGTGGCAATGACACAGAGCTAGTAGCCTGCCTGCGGACACGGCCAGCTCAAGACCTGGTAGACCACGAGTGGCACGTGCTGCCTCAGGAAAGTATCTTCCGCTTTTCCTTCGTGCCTGTGGTGGACGGAGACTTCCTCAGTGACACGCCTGAGGCCCTCATCAATGCTGGAGATTTCCACGGCCTGCAGGTGACTAGTGGCTGTCAGGGGTGGACTGGGTTCCTCTGGGTCTCACCCACCCTGCCCCTGCCCTGCCCCCCAGGGAGCTGGGGATGTGGGCTCCTCCAGACCGACTCTCAGAGGTCCAGGCTTCCGGGCCCGTGGCCACCCCCTCCCCCTGAGGGCTCAGATCCAAGGGTGGTCAGCAGGGTGGAGAGGACAGGAACTGTGGGTGCATTTCCTTTTTTTCTCAGTCCCTTCCCCAATCTCACTCTTCCTCCGTGGTTCTGGGTCTATAACTGTTCATCTCTCTGGCTCTTTGTTTGTCTGTTTCTTTCCACCTGTCTGTCTGTGCCCCCTCCATCCTGTCCTCCACCCCCAGGTGCTGGTGGGTGTGGTGAAGGATGAGGGCTCCTATTTTCTGGTTTATGGGGCCCCAGGCTTCAGCAAAGACAACGAATCTCTCATCAGTCGGGCCCAGTTCCTGGCTGGGGTGCGGGTCGGGGTCCCCCAGGTGAGTGACCTGGCGGCCGAGGCTGTGGTCCTGCATTACACAGACTGGCTGCACCCTGAGGACCCGGAGCGCCTAAGGGAAGCCATGAGTGCCGTGGTGGGTGACCACAATGTCGTGTGCCCTGCGGCTCAGCTAGCTGGGCGACTGGCAGCCCAGGGGGCCCGAGTCTATGCCTACATCTTTGAACACCGTGCCTCCACGCTCTCCTGGCCCCTCTGGATGGGGGTGCCCCATGGCTACGAGATTGAGTTCATCTTTGGGCTTCCCCTGGACCCCTCACTGAACTACACTGTCCAGGAAAGAATCTTTGCCCAGCGGTTGATGAGATACTGGACCAACTTTGCCCGCACAGGGTCAGCAGCTCTGGGAAAGGGAGGGTCTCTGGGGGTTAGGGGAACAGAGGGAGCACATAGAGGAAAGGCAGGAGAGGAGAGCAAACTTTCACAAAGGAAATGAGACAAAGGACGAGAGTGGGGAAGACAAAGAAGACCTAGAGAAGGCAGGCAGGATGGGGCCTCCTTCAGAGGAAGGCAGGAAGGCAAGCAAGAGGTAGATGATCAAGGCCAAGACAAAGGAGTTACGAGAGTTAGGAGTGGAATGTAGAGCTGGATTAAACTGGACCAACAGTGATTTTTCTCCCTCTCCCTCTCTTTCACACACACACACACACACACACACACACACGTCGCGCACGCACAAACACCAGTTTGTCTGAAGAAGAGGGCAACAAATCTGGCATCGAAGCCAAGGTGATGTTTGTAGAGACAGGACAGCATCTGGTTACACAATAAGGGCTCAATAAATCCTAGCAATTTTTTGTTAATGGGAAAAGACAAAGAGCAGAAAAATTGAGGGAAAGGGACAAAAGAGAAGGAATGCAGGAGGAAAGGGTAGACTCCTAAATGTCAGGGGACACTGGAGAAGGAAAAGGGTTGGAGCTGGGGTGGAAGGGAGGAATGGTGCCCCCAAGAGGTTAAAGAGAGCCCAGGGTCAGTAAGGGAATGCTTCCGCCCACCCCCCACCCCCGTCCCCATCTTCATTCCTCATCTAGGAGCCACAGGCCTGAATGGGACTGAGCCTTCCCTTTCCTTCCGCAGGGACCCCAATGACCCGCGCAACACCAAGGGCCCACAGTGGCCACCATACACTGCAGGTGCGCAGCAGTACGTGAGCCTCAATCTGCGGCCGCTGGAGGTGCGGCGGGGGCTGCGCGCCCAGGCCTGCGCCTTCTGGAACCGATTTCTACCCAAATTGCTCAGCGCCACCGGTATGCGGGGGCCAGCGGGCAGGGGCTGGGAACAGGGGAGAGAAAGGGGTCGCAAAGAGAAGGGAGTGGGAACCAGCTGGGTATAACCCCTTTCTTCTCCCCCCAGCCTCGGAGGCTCCCTGCACCTGCCCAGGCCCCGCCCATGGGGAGGCTGCCCCGAGGCCCAGGCCCGGCCTCCCCCTGTCCCTCCTCCTTCTCCTCCACCTCCACCTCTCCCGGCTTCAGCGGCTGTGACCACGGCCTCTTCCCCCTCCGGCCATAGGGGCCCCTCCTCTTATGCATGGTCGGACCGCGGGGAAAGGCCCTTCTCAGGGACCCAGCGCCCCCTCCCTCCTCAAACCGAGAGACACAAACTGGAAAGTCTCAGGGACCCACACGCCTTTGTTTACGTGGAAATGAAAAAGTCATATATATATTATATATAAAATTATCCTTTGGAGCTTGACCCTGATGTTGGGGGCAGAGGGAAGACCCGGGGTTGGATAACACCCCCACCCCCTCCAGCGGGGCTATAACCGTCAACCATTTCTGTCTCTCCTCTTTTCCCCACCAACCCGTGGATCCTCCCCACTCTGATCCTGTGTGTCCCTCCGGTCTTCTGATCTTTTCCTCCTCCTCTCCTTTCTACCATATTCCTCTGGCCCCGCCTCCTCCTTCATCCTCCCTCTCGTCTACTGTCTTTCCTGATTCTCCTGATCCTCTTTCCACCATCCCACGTGGCCTCCTACATTCCCCGTGTGTCCCCCCCCGCCCTGCGCTCATGCCCCTCCTCCATGTCCTTTCCCCAATCTTCTCGATGTTTTCGTCCTCCCACCACTTGCCGGGTGCCCTGGCCGCAGACACGCTGGACGAAGCAGAGCGCCAGTGGAAGGCCGAGTTCCACCGCTGGAGCTCCTACATGGTGCACTGGAAGAACCAGTTCGACCATTACAGCAAGCAGGATCGCTGCTCAGACCTGTGACTCCGGCGAGACCCCACGTCCCTCCGCCCCGCCCGGCCCCCTCGCTGTATATATTATTTATTAAATGGCTGGGATATAACAGACCAGCCCCAGACCCTGCCCACCCGACCCCGAATCCCCCCGGGGTTCCCCCTCCTCTGCATGTCTCGGGCCGAGCTCCCTCCCCCGCGGTGCCTTCGCCCCTCTGGGCTGCCAATAAACTGTTACAGCCACCGGAATTTGCGAGATTGGGGAGCCGGGGTGGGGGCAGAACGCCGGGATCACCGGGGCCGACTTGGTAGAGGAGTGGGGGCTGGAAGACACCTAACTCGCCATCTCCGTAACGCTGCCCACGGCGCCTGCGCTTAGGGCCCCGCCCCCGTCCCGCCGAATCTCGCGCCTGCGCAGTGAGACTGGCGGATCGGAGCACCAGTGCATGGTGGGAGTCTGTGGGTTGGGGTCGCCTGGTGGCCTCGGTTCGGTCCCCGCGCACATCTCTGGGGCTCGTCCTGCCTGCAGCTAGCCCAGCATCTGAGGCTGAGAAAGCATTGGAACCGGAGTTCTCCCTGCGCCGCTGAAAAGAGGCATCTGGCCGCCCTGGCGCCGCTGAAGGACGTCCACCTGGGCCTAGCCCCGCCGAGTCGAGGCGCCGCTCGCCTGGCCCTCCTTTCGGGCCACTACCTCTACTATCACTATGGTTGCGACGGGCTGGACGACCGGGGCTGGGGCTGTGGCTACCGTACTCTGCAAACGCTGTGCTCCTGGCCAGAGGGCCAGTCTACAGGCGTACCTGGATTGGTCGCCATGCAGGCGGCCCTGGAGGACATGGGCGACAAGCCCCCAGGGTTCCGGGGCTCCCAGAGCTGGATCGGCTGCGTAGAAGCCAGCCTCTGCCTCGCACACTTCGGAGGGCCCCAGGGGCGCCTGTGCCATGTGCCCCGTGGAGCAGGGCTTCAAGGGGAGCTGGAGAGGCTTTACTCACACTTCACTTCAGGCGGTGGCCCAGTGATGGTGGGAGGGGATGCGGATGCCCAGTCCAAGGCTCTGCTGGGAGTCTGCCTGGGCCCAGGCACCGAAGCTTATGTCCTGATACTGGACCCTCACTACTGGGGCACTCCAAAACACCCTAGTGAACTACAGGCTGCCAGGCGGGTTGGCTGGCAAGAGGTAAGCACAGCCTTTGACCCCAACTCCTTCTACAACCTGTGCCTGACCAGACCTAACTCTGACAAGAATCAGCACACCCTGGACTGAGACTGATTGCACACGTGTGCTCTTATTTACTTCCCAGAGGTGTCCCAGCAGAGTGGGACTGTCAGCATCAAAAATAAAGTGGCAAGGCCCAGCTAACCTCAGCCCCTGCTAGTGTCTGGGATGATTTGGGAAGTTGTATAACATACGCTGAGTTACAAGTCACTACTGAAGTGCTTTTATTGGCAGTATGTCTGAAGGTACAAAAAAAATTCTCAGCTGATGGGACAAGGCAATCACAATTACAGATGATAGGAATGGGGGACAGGGGACACGGCTCAAAAGAAATCAACATCATCAGGGGCATCCAGATCACGATATTCCACAATGGCCCTTGGGTCTCCACGAACCATCCTATAAGATAAGAGGGGAAGCAGGATGAGAATTGAAGGTCCCCAAGTTTTGAAGGGGGCAAGAAAACTTGGGACATCTGAGCTCAGTCTCACCTGTTGCGAGGTTTCCCAGGATAACCACCCTGGCCTCGAAAGGCATCATAGTTCCCTCGGCCGGCACCATATGGGGCATGTGGGTATGGAGGCCCTCCTGTGGGGACTGCAGGGCGGACAGCACCCGCTGTGAGAAAGATCAGTGTTGAATTGAAAACCCTGACCTCAGCCAGGGCCTCAATTTTCTTCCTCCCAGCTACGTGCAACCACTACACCCCTTCAGCTCCCTCCCATACTCACCTCCATAGCCCAAGATGGGCGGCCGGGGCTGACCATAGGGCATCAGGCCCTGGGGAGTCTGGTGTGGGTAGGGGAGTCCCGGGGTCAAGCCTGGGGGGAGTACAACACGGACAGGGACATGAATTACTGCGGGGAGAGGGGAACGCAGAACAAATGACTTCTAGAAATAGGCTTGAGGGTGGGGTAGACACTTCTGGGGAGCGGGGTGACAGGTTAAACAAACAGGAATCCATGGGGGGGAAAAGGGGAGATGCAAGACCCCCCATGGATCGTATCTTACTCTGGGCAGGGCCAGGTGGCTGAGCTGGCTTAATTTCAGGCAGAGCCGGGCGCTTAGCATCCGTGAGAAAGTTGTTAAAAAATGCCACCTCTTTCTTTACTTCCTCAATCTTCTCTGCATGCTTGTTGAAGATATGTTTGCGAACAAATTCAGGGCCCTGGGTGGAGAGGAGAGGGTCAGGACAGAGCAAGTGATGTGGGTTCCCTCATTCCCAGACCCAACCTGGAAGGCCAACAGCCTCCATCCTGCTGGGCCAATGACTATTTCCTTCCAGGGCCTTTGGGGGTCTTCCTGTGACCCTCTCCTCCCAACATTCTACCCCACTAATTCTCTAACATCCCAGACCTTAAACTTCTTGCCACTGAGAGGACACAGCCACTTATCCTTGCCCAGTTCCTGGGTGTTCGAGGTGACAAACTTTTCCACTTCTTGCTCAGGGTCTTTGCGACCCATCTTCTGAGCCTCTTCCTCTGAGAGGGATTCCCGCACACTGAGCAGTGGAGTCAGCTTCTCCTCAAAGGTTTTCTGCCACTCCAACACTGTGGTTGGGACCAGAGATAGTTATTCTGGAGACAGGAGCTGGAAGCAAGGGACAGGAAAAAGGAGGGGACCAGAGGCCACTGGGGAGAAAATGGGAAACGGAATGGGGCGCTGGAACGTACCTTCTCCATGACTGATTCGATTGGGAGGCATGGGCCCCCGAACGTGGATGATGCCACAACGATTGGGCATCTCGTCCTCGTTGGGGTACTCGCAGGTGTTGTAATAATCCAAGGAATGTACGATGCGCAAATAGAGAAGGAGCTTATCCAACACCTATGGGCAAAGGAAGCCACTGGTCACCACTTCCACCCCTTCACTGCTGAGCCACCCTGCATACCCCACAGTTATAGCTGGCACCTTGATCAGTTTCTCGTCCCGTTCCACGTTGATCTCTGCTGGGTTCCCTTCCTTAGGCGGCTCCTCTGGGGGGGCCCCTCCACTGCTCCCCAGCAGCTCCTCTTCCTCAGCACTCACTTCCTCAATCAGGTAGTCAGTGATATTCTTCAATATTGGGTTTTGCGAAGGCAGACTCTGGTCGGGAGGGAGCCGAAGAAGTAAAGAGCAAACCTTAGTGCAGGGAGCCCAGGGACTGCCAGCAATGGAAGGCACCGTGGAAGGGAAAGGAGTTCAGGGCTCCCTGGATAAATTCTGACCTCCACCTCCTACCACTTTTCTTATTTTTATACTTGTCCTGCCCTAGCCCACAAACAACGCCATCAGTCTGTCCTGCTGGAAGTTGGACATGTTTCCCAGGGGCAGAAAGGGGCAGTTAAGTGAGGATGTGGGTGGGCCCAAGGGGTCACTGCTACAGATTAGAGGAGATCAAGTATCAGGAGAATGAGGTGGTATCAGCTGCTTTGGAAACAGCTTCTTGGGGAGTCACTGACTGTTGGCAGAGGAGGTGTCCCAGGCTCAGAGGCCCAGAGCTGAGTCCTGTCATCCAGCGTATGGATCAGCTTGGCTGCCAGCTTGATGTCATTGCGCACTATCTGTTTGTGCTGTGTAATGCCGTTGATGTTGCGGACACGACGAGTCAGGTCTCTGTTCACACCGGGGCTCAGTTCACATTCCCGGAGCTAGAAAGAACACAAAATCAGAAAGCTGGCCTACTGTCCCAGAAGCAGCAACTCAGAGACTGACCCCCATTGCAAATATCAGTGATTAGACTGTGAGCTCCCTGAGGACAGGGACCAAAAAGTGTCTGTCTTGTCCTCAGAGCTCATCCAGGAACAGAAGTAAAACAAGCAGACTGAACACACAAGGGAGTCAGGTCACGTGGACATAGACAGCCACAGACCCATCCTCCAACAAGCCCCACTCCTAGAACTCACCCGGATATTCTGCAGGTTCCAACAGATCTCTTTAATATTAACGCTGCGGTCAAAGGTCACCCAGCCACGACGGAAAAACCTACACAAGAACGAATGTCAGCACGGTCATGGAATGGAGAGGTGCTAGCCATTAACCTCGCCCCTGCATCTTCTCTCCAAGGGGTCCAGTTCCTCACCTCCTCTCGGGCTGAGGCTCCGACAGTGCTACACGCATAAAGCCTGGGTATCGTTTACAAAGCTGCAGGAAGCAAAGTAACAGAAACCCCATTTAATGATTCAGAACTCACCTCTTCCTCCAATCCCCATTCAGAACCCTGGGGAAGTGCCTTTTAATCCCTCCCATCCTCAGGCAAGGAAAAACCATCCAAGAGTTCAAGAACACCACCACCTGAGTGCCACAGCACAAGAGGCAGGGGCCTCCCTTATCAAAGGCAACCGCAGCAGCACCAGACCGCCTCTCTCCACCGCTACCCCAGGACCTGAGCCTGGGGCCAGCCCTGCGCTAATACCAGCTTCCCCACTCACAGAGATGATCTCGGCCCGGGAGATGTTGGGCGCGATGTTGCGCATGAAGAGGGAGCAGGTCTTATGAAGGGGCCGGGGCTTGCACTCCAGCCCCGCAGCATCCTTGGGCTTCTCCCTGTCCTCCTCTTTGGGCTTCTCCTTTTCCTTAAGTGCTTCTTCTACACGCGAGGGGGTGGGAAATGGTCGATTTTGTTATTTTGGGTGCAGCAGATAGAAGAGCTTTTACCACCCCCAACCACAGTCACTGCCCCCACCTAACACCTCCCCTCAATTTCATCAGCCCCCTGCCCCACAGAGGCCCATGCAGGAGGAGGACTAGACGCAGAAAGTAAGACCTACCAGCCTCTTCCTTCTCCTCCTCAGCATGGCCACTCTCAGACTCCGACTCCGACTCCGACACACTGCCTTCGTCAAAGCTGTCATCGCCGCTGTGTTTCCTGTTCCGTTTCTTACTACTCTGTGGGAGCCACGGCAACAGGGTCAAGTCAAGACAGCCTTGACTACTGCCCTCACCAGCTGCCCCCATGAAAGACACCCCACCTTTTTGGCTTCCTTCTCCGAGTCTTCCTTCTTCTCTTCCTTGTCCCCATCACCCTCGGACTTCTTAGTTTTATCGTCATTGG